GATCTTATATATAATTTTTTGTATACCATAGTTGGAGGCCAAGCACTCTTCAGACATCTGCTCACTTTCTAATGCCCTGATTCACTTCGAGATGCTCCGTAGCCAGTCCCATGAGGTCACAGCTTTGGACAGCACCATCACTGCTCTTGTCTACAAGTAAGCCCTAATGTATTTTATTGGTTACGCTTCGTACTGATTTACATACTCAATTAATTTGTCAATCAATATTCTTGGTGTGAACTACATGTCTTCAATCAACATCAGGGATGCTTACCATTTACCCAGAAAACCAAACATTCCGCTTGGGAAAACAAATAGTATGTGTCATTCGGATCGTGAAAGTTCCGGAAAACTCGGTCTTCTAATTGAAGTAATCTTTCCCGTTCTTTTCGATTCTCCCGGTAGATGCGTCTACCATTTGTCAGAATTCAAAGTTTCCCGCTCTTTATTTTATTATCCTGTATTTTTCTCACAATTGACTGAGTAACTTATTTCCAGATGCAAGAACAGTTCCTCAGAATTAGAAAAATCTCTGGTGAAGCTAAAGGCTGTGAGTGAGATGACATCGTTATTGAACATCAAATGTCCGCCTGAAGCACCCATCACTCTTGGATGGATGAAAACTAAYCTGGAGTCAGTCAGTCAAGAGATATCATCACATAAGTCCAGGAAGATTCAGGCTGTCAGTTCTGTCACCACCAAGAAAGTGAGTCCTTGTTCTTTTTAGTTTTTGCAGTATTTAGCTCTAATTTTGCTGGCGTTTAGTGATGTGATGTAGTGTTGTTGAAGTTGTTGATGATGATGTTGATATTATTTGCTTTTGTTGTTCAGGAATCACTCAAGTCCCACACCAATGCCCTCAAAGCACTGATAGTAACACATCAGCAGCTGGTATCAGAAGTAAAAGCATTGCTAACCACTATGGTCAAGGTATCATACCTATATATTAGGAGTGAGTGAGTGAGTGCATGAGTGAGAAACGGTCCTGCAAATTCATGGCTGTACCATACCTTGCTGTACCAGTAACTACTCGTTTTGGTTGCATGAATTAGTGAAAGAAGATGCAATTTCAATGTTACGGCATGCTGTACCGTGTACGTGCTGTAACCGTACGTTTCCCACCCATAAGATAACCATTCCAGCTATGGGAAGCCATTTCGATGTTACGGCATGTCGTACTGTGTACGTGCTGTAACCGCACGTTTCCCACTCATACGATAACCATTCTTATAGAAAGCCATTTGAATGTTACGGCATGTCCTACCGTGTACTTGCTGTAATCGTACGTTTCCCATCCATACGATAACCTTTCTTATAGAAAGCCATTTCGATGTTACGGCATGTCGTACAGTGTTATTGTTGTGGGCTCTCAACCTGTGCTAAAGTTCATAGATAAATTTTGTCTGTTTTCCCCTCTCTCCTCAGGATGAAGATGGACATGAATCAAGTACTGCTGCTAAGTCGTTCATTACATCCTACAACAGGCTGTCAGACGAGAGTGCRCAGTTGATTAAAAGCACTTTATCGTGTAAGACTCTGATACCAACCTTGACCTTGTTTACCATATCAAACATGATGCATTGTGGTCTAGCTTGAGTACAACAACACTATAAAAGTCATGATGAGCAATAGATTCTTGTACCCAAACTAAACCACAATGCACCATGTTCTTTAGACTATTGTTACACTCCAGAATATCCCATCATTCTTCAATGTTTCTGCTCAAATAGTTTCTCCTGTAAACCTCGACCTATTTTCGTGTTAAATACGAATTTTCCAGCATCCTTGATTTATTTTTGGAAAGATTGGCACAT